CATTCCATGCTGGCAACCCTGCCCTGCACAAATGTGCTTGATGCTCAGACATGGTCTCTTGACTGCCCGTGCTCAGTGCCATCTGTTGAGATGGCATTGTGCCTGGGCACAACTTGCTATGTAGATTTGACTAGGACACAGGTGCCCTAGCAGCAGGAGATGGGGAAGACCATTGCCACCTTGAGTCCCTCCTCCATCTGTCTGGCAGAGCATGTTCTCCCTAATAGAGAGCACGTGTTGCAGTGGGGTCTAGCAGGTCACCCCACTGTTGCTGGGCGGATCTGTTTGGATGGGCACAGGCAGTCATTGGGCAGTTGAGTTTCTGGGGAGATTTTCATGTTGCCAATTTGGGGGTGGGGCACAAAGCTTTTAAATACAGGTCACGCAGCTTTGGACTTTATCTTTTGCTGTGTACAAGGGATCACCCGCCCAGCCTCCCTGAAATGAGGGTTATTTCGCTTGACCTTGCTATGCCTGTCATGGGATCACCTGCTTTTGGGGCAGGGGCCTGGTAGGAATTTTGTCCATTTGGCTGGTTGGCTGGTGCCATTCAGTTTTTGCCTATTGTGTAGCAAATCGTCACAACTTGTAAGGTTTGCGGTTAGGCATTGGTTAAAAAAATGGTTGGTGGAGGGGTAAGTGCCTACCCCTCCAATGCTGGTGCTGCAAGGGAATTCTGTTAAAGGAATCTGGGGGCTTGCCATGCCTTCGTCCAAATCCCTGGCATCAGGTTTGGGCTGCGCAAGCCCCTGGGAGCATGTGGGGAGAGGTGAGGGTCTGTTCTCCAGCTTCATTGATCCCCAATATTGTTTTCCCTGACTGGCTTCCGCTGGAATCTGGAAGTCAGTTCTGTCCCTGCGGCATGGACAGATAGTCGTAACCATTGCCTAAGCAACCACTCACGTTTGTGTATTTAAATAAAGTTGTGGCCAAAATTGTGCCAAAAACATTAAACAAAAATTTCTGTGTGAAGCGTGAGTTAATTTGGGGCGGCTTGGGGACCTCGACACGCAACAATCAACACCTTCAGTGGTTTGGGTGGAACTGTGTTACCCACCTGGAAATGGTGTTGGCTGCTAAACCTATTCCTTTTGGGTAAACTCCCCCAGGGTGTGTAATTGGAACCATAGCATCATAGAGTTGGAAAAGACCCCTGAGGATCATCTAGGCCAACCCCCTGAATTGCAGAAATATACAGTTGTCCCATATGGGGACCGAACCTTCAACCCTGGTGTTATCAGCACCATGCTCTAGCCAACCGAGCTATCTAGGCTAACATAACATTAGCTGGACAGTAACGAACTGCACTACTGTGTGATCCTACTGCTGCTACACAGTTATTTCAATTTGCCCCCTATCAGCCAGAAGCTTTGGGAAATGTTTGCTTTGGGATGGCGATATGTTATTCACTTAGGATAGGAGTCAACTGATCAGATCAGTTTCTGACTGAATGGCCATTTCTCTCTGTGTGTGTGATATTAAGTCTTGAGCAGGCTTGGGGCACTGCTGAAGGCACACCATTATAGGGGTTTTTCTCACTTGGGAGGATAATAGATCTCAAGGGCATCCAGATCTCATCTACATTTCTGCTTGACCCACACTTTCAATGTCTCAGCGGTTTCCCCCTTGCACCGCTCCTTTCTGGGGGAATTTCCGCTCTTAAGTGCTAAATCGGAGCAAACATCCATCCGAAGAATACCCGAATTGCTGTTTGCTCCAGTTGAGTGCTAAAGAGCAGTTTATCTCTGGGGGAAGAAGTAGGAAAACAATAAGTGTGGATAACCCCCCCCCTGCCCAAAAGAAGCTGAACTAGGGAAGTGCTTAATGTTTGGTGTTTTATCATATTTTAAATGTTCTGTTGGGAGCCGCCCAGAGCGGCGGGCAAACCCAGCCAGATGGGCAGGGTAGAAATAATAAATAAATAAATAAATAAATAAATAAATAAATAAATAATGTTGGAAGATTTGGGCAAGATTAAAAGAAGCACTTCTTAACACAGCACATAGTTAAATTATGGAACTCGCTCCCTCAGGACTCACTCAGATCATGTCAGGACATAGCTGTCAACCGTCCCTTATTTGGCGGGAAACTCCCTTATCCCAGCGCCGTGTCCCGCTGCTGTCCCTTATTGATGATGTCCCTTAAATTTCCCTGGTTTCAAAGGAAGCAGCTCCTCTCCCTCCCTCCCTGCCGACCAGGGAGGAGGGAGGCTCCAACTGTGTTGCTTGGCTGCGTTGCTCACCCAATAAGGAGTCTAAGAACGACTGGGGGGTGGAGCTTGCATACCTTGTGCCAATCAAATTGGCCGCATTGCCTGGGGACTCGCCTTTGCTCAGCGCTTCCTAGCGGAGAGGTGACGGTGGTTTTCCTTGCTGCATTCCCTTTGCTGGGTTGTTGCGCTGTGGGAACCACCGCTTGAGGCTTCGTTTGGCTGCTGGCTGGACTTTCTGCCTTTGGCTCAGAGGAGCTCAGACGCTGAACATACCTGTGCCCAGAAAATCCCTTATTTTGGCTGCTGATCCCTTATTTTTGAGGCTGCTGGCCCCTTATTTTCAAATCTGTAAGTTGACAGCTATGTGTCAGAATGCTGTCAGTGGCTCCCGGTTGGTTGCCCAGGAAAGTATAAAGGCAAGGAAAAGTTTCTTACCGTCCTTTTTTATTTCAATATTACACAGAGAGAGGCTATAGAACCCAGCCTCTTGCATAATGGTGTTGTCCCGAGTGAATCTCCACCCCCGCTGTCTCTCCCACTTCCTCATTCGTCTCTCCTATGGGTGCTGATAAGTGCCCTCTGTCTTTGAGCTCTTTGTTCTCCTATTTTTAAGGGTCTCCAGGTTCTGGGAGATGGTGGGTCTGGAATGCTTTCTAAAGACACCATGCCAGTCAGCTGCCGTTCTAGTCCTGCCTCCTGCTGCTGGTAAAGCACTGGATGAATGTGATCCCACAGAGATGGAATAGGGGCTTGCTCCATCCACTCCATGCGTCGACCTGGTATTGCAGTACCTCCAGGAACGGTGCACCACGGAAAAAAAGAAGAATGTGATCCCACAGCAAGGAGCCTCGCCGCGGCATTCAGTGCCCCCATATTCAAAATATAAACAACAATAAACTGTAAAATGAAATGTTATTTTTCAAAATGAAATGAAGCCTACAATGAGGTGGGAAATAACATTTCTTTTTGTATCTTTGCAGACCCTCCAAGTGTTCTTGCGAGAAACTGCAGGAGAGGAGTTTAGGAATTGCTTTCTACATTAGACTTCAGGCAATTTACAGAGAACTGTACAAAAAAAAAAAAAGACAATTAAAAATAAGTTTAAAATGAATTGAGACCTTTTCAACCAGCAGAAGGCCTTCTAAGTGTCAGATACACTGTGGAACTCCTTGCTAAAGGAGATTCACCTGGCCCCAACTCTGATGACCTCTTGCCAGCAGGCAAAGACATACATACACCCCCCCACCCCCCCACCCCCCCCACACAGCAGGCAGACTAGTTAATGGCCATTGATAAGTTTGCTGAAAGGGTTTACACTGGTTATTACAGTGATCTGTTTTATTAATAAGTTTTACCCGATTTTCTTGAATTGTTGTTTTGTATTTTAACTTTCAGTTTACCAATGTTGGCAGCCTTGGGCACCATACTAATTTAACAAACGGACAATAAATGAATCTCTGAATGTACAATTCTTGGCAATTTAAACATTTCAAAATACACACTTAAAATATATATTTAAGTATTTTTTTGGGTGGGGATTTTAATGGCATATTAATATTAAAGTAGAATGGAACAGAATTATGGTTACAACTTGTAGTTAGTTACATGTACCAGACATATATTTGTCTAACACAAATAATCTTAAACAATGCAACAAGGGGACCTTTTTTTTACAATAAGCACTGAAGGAACATTAATAAACGTGTCTTTCTCATATCCACAATGTATATGCAGATGGTTTCTGCAGGCCTGATGGATAAATGCAATCCTTTCAAATGTCTTCAGAGGTGTAATTCTATTGCAAGTAGCATGATTTCCAGTGTTGGATTTTCTCTTATGTGATCTAAGCTTTTTGTGGCTATGAAGGTAAAATACATTGTCTCGCTGACTCAATGCCCATTTTTCCTGATAAACAAATAAATTGCCTTTCAGTTAAAAGGTACTCAGGATGATGTACAGACTTCTCCCCGTGAAAAATTCCAGACCAAGGAAAACACGTGAGAGGCAATCGGCAGCTTTTTATTTTGCAATTGTTTGGAAAGAGGGGAAATGTGTGTGTGAGTGTGTATATATATTCTGTACCTGAATTCTATCAGTAAAGTAGTGGGCAGCAACATAGAAAAGCCATTCCAACTTGTAAGATTTTAAAGTTTAAATGAACTCTAAATAGCCTATATTGTTGGTCTGCATATTAAAATCAGAGTGTGTGTGTGGCGATCACACAGGATTCCCGGACATTTGACGGTCTATTGATCCCTGTGCCACCACTGTGATTGCTTTCCCACTGCCACCAACCTGTTTCTCTCGGGTACACACAGAGTCCAGACAGTTGTTAACATTAACAAATAATCAAGTTTATTTTATAGGCATGAACAAGTTTATGGTTTCAGTTAATTTTTCTTGGCAGTTTCTTAATCTTAGTTTCTTTACTGGCCTATATGTTCCTAACAACTTCAAACTGATTATCCCAACTATCTATCTGACTCCACCTAACAGTCCCTCTCACTCTCTCACAACACAACTCGACCAACCCACAGACTTATCCTCCCTCTTCCTTCTCCAACTCCCAACTCTCAACTGACTTCCACACCACACCACTCCAACCCTAACTCTAACTCCTCCCCTTGGGTTCCCACTGGCCAATCACTTCACACTCATTTAACACTTTCCTTATGACCCACCTAGGAGGGCAAACGCCACACTGTGATCCAGTAGAATCAAAGACTTGTAGAGGTGGAAAGGACCCTAAGGATCATCTAGTCCAAACTCCCTGCAATGCAGGAATCTTTTGCCCAACATGGAGCTCAAACCCACAACCCTGAGATTAATAGTCTCATGCTCTACCAACTGAGTTATTGGACATCCTAGCACTCACAGCCTTCTCCACTCTCCTGAGTTTCCATTCCCTCCACAATTGACACTCAACAATCTATAGCTACACAGCATGCTCAGGCTTCGGTGAGTTATATCTCAGGTTCCTCTGAGCATGCTGATGATTGGACTAAAGGAACTAGGCTAGTACCCTAAATGTTCCGCTGGTGCCTTCTCCCCAAAGTCCAGAAAGCTTCTGCCTGGCTTAGAGAGGGAGGAGCAAGGCTCCGATGGGTTCAAGATCCATCCTGCCATCTTCCCAAAGCCCATATGGCTTTTGGAAGAAGGCAGGAGACCTCTGACATCCTGTCAGAGCCCTGGCACCTCCTTCACAAAGCCCGGGAAGCTTCAGCCCAGCTTAGGGAGGGAGGCACAATGTGTTAGGGCCCAAGACCATTGTTAGGAGCTCAGCCTACACTCAAGTAGGACCCTGGCAGAGACACATGCCCGACTGGCATGTTCTCTCCCTCCTGGTTGATTGTTTGGGAGCTTCAAAAGCTTTCTTCAGCCCGAACATCTCAGCAACCAATGCCAACAGACATCGGCACACTTAGGGATCCACAGAGTCTTCACAACTTGCGTAACAGACCTCAACAACTCAGCATTTTGGCTAATCTACTTTATTTACATATAAACACGCGCGGAGCACTGCAACATGGTTCCCCCTCTCTCTAGCATCAGACAGCAAAGAGGAAAAGAACAAAGGACAAAAGTCCCACTTCATGGAACACAGTATCATAAACATCCTGTCTCCGTCACTTCCCACTTTGTAGGGTCAAAACATATACCGTCATGTGATAGACAAAAATCCCATGACTGTAATCATGGAGCAGGAATTCTAACACAATGCTCAAGTGTGACATTGGCGACGTGTGGCGACATTAGGATGCCACAATGTCACATGCATGACATTGACCACCCACGGCTCTCGCAAACTGGTGCCTCTGGCCCTAAGTGTTCCCCTATAAAAAAATTCACCGTACGCCACTGATGCTGATTTTTGGATGCCTTCATCATGTTTCTAAGGGGCCCCTTTATGGCTCTAATACTCGTGACACCCTCACCCCATCTGAATGTACTATTAGAAGGAACAATTTAAATTCTCTCTGCTTGAATAGAATGAGGTATTTTTAAATAAGCCTTCATTTTTGTTGCCTCCTCCGCTGAGCACATCTGCTTTTGAGTAAGAGTGATATATTTGTGTCAGTTTTGAGTGTCGTTCGGTTTATTTCTACCCTATTATTACCCATGGGGTACTCAATCCTACATCACACACAAAAAAGACTAATTTATTCCTAATCCTGTTCAAAAGAAGCATATTCTCATTTAATGGTAACAGGGGGAATTAAAGTATGTGGTTTCTTATCACAGGCCTAGTCTGCCTCTGGTGATTCACCGGGCAAACTCTTCTTCTTCTTCTTCTTCTTTTAGCTTTCTGCCCAACTGGGAAAATCAAAGGTATGCTACATAATAACTCATTTACATAGTGTGTGTGTGTGTTACCAAAAAAGTGGAAGTCAAGTCAGAGTTTGTACTCCTCAAAGAACAGTGCATTAAAAGAAGGAATCATAACTGGTACACGATAGCCTGGCTAGTGACTATTGTGGGTATTTTTAAACTGAAATGGTACATAAATGAAAAGTAAAAACCCTCTACGAGAGGTCCAGAGATTGGCAACACAAGAACGGGCCTTCTCTGCAGTGGCTCCCCGTCTGTGGAATGCTCTCCCCAGGGAGGTTTGCCTGGCGCCTTCATTGTACACTTTTAGGCGCCAGGCAAAAACGTTTGTCTTTAACCAGGCCTTTGGCTGATTAACATCCAGTGCCCTTTTAAAATGTATTGGGGTTATTAGATTGCTTTTGTTTTTATTTCGATTGTGTGTTTCATGTTTTTAATCTTGCGTTTTTATCTTGTGAACCACCCTGAGACCTGCGGGTATAGGGCGGTATATAAATTTAATAAATAAAAAATAAATAAAACAAGCAAAGAGGAAACCAATCTGTTCCTCTCCCAGACCTCAGTTGGATCTCCAGTCATTATTGTTGGTATCCATTGCCTCCTGCAGAGTGAATTTTTAAGGAAGTAATAGTCCTAGTCCTAAATGACATGCTCTGATCCACACTTCTTGGATTAATGTAGTGGTTAAAGTGGTTACAACGTTGGCCTACAGCCTGAGAGACCAGGGCTCAAATCCCTGCCTAGCCATGACCTTTGGCCTGTCACCAATTTTCAGCCTAGCTTACCTCACAGAATTGTTGTAAGGATAATATAGAGACAGAAAGAACACTGTATGCCACCTTGAACTATTCTGAAGATAAATGGGATGTAAAGTCCCACTTTTGAAGCTGTTTCTATCCAATTCATACTTTCTGAAGCAGTATGTCTACCAAAAGATAGCTATCATTTGAAATTTGCATTATCTGAATTTTCCAACGCAGTTCTCCAACCAAGCAATGTTTACAAAAAATGCAAAAATTGGGGGGAAGTGTGCATAAAGTTGAATATATTGGATATGTATTGAATATATATTCATGAGACTAGCATACAAAATACCTTTTCTTAAGGAAAATTGCTTGCAAAACACAGGCACTCTAGTCAAAACTGCATGTAAAAATGTGTTGCTTAGGATAAATCCACAGTTAGTGTTTATGAATTTTCATGAGGGCGTTTAAAAAACAAGTTCACAAATCACTGCAAAATGTTTAGATTTGAATTTAAGATCGGAAAAATGAGAAACTGAGAGAACCATAGCAGACAGTTCCTTCCACCACTTCAGTACACCAAGAACCACATCCTCAAACAAACAAACAAAATACAACCAGCTTCACTGGAACGTCAGATTTTCCTTCCTACAAGACAGTTACTGTAAGTGAGCTGGGGATGAACCCAATTGAAGTAGGTCCTGCTGTTGACTTTGTCTGCATCCCCCACAACCCTTGCTCTCACCTGGGGAATGGCAAATATGTCTATTTTAGTTTCTCATTCCTCAGATCTTCAAACTAGCTCTCCACGTTTCCACATCACTTTGTGATTTTTGTGTGGGAAAACTACTCTCGAATATGCATTGGCATTTTTTTGTGAATACCTCCTGATATACACATTTTTGATGCAATTTTTTCCTAATACGAAATTTTTCGCAAATCAATTTCCCCCAATAAAATTATTCTTGTAAGTTGTTTTCACTAACATATGTATTTACATGTTTTCACTAACATATGCATTTACATCCACTAGCATATACATTTTTGTACATATTACTTAGCTAAAGACTGCATTGCAAAGTTCGCAAGAGTGCAAATTTCAAAGGTGGTTGTGTTTCAGTTCACACATGGTTTGGGAGGGTACAAATTAGGTAAGTGTATTTAAATGTGAACTGAATTGAATCCCCTCATCCTCAAAATCCCTACCATGTGAATGTGCTTGGAGTGAGGAAAATGAGCTCACATTATGGTGTGTATGTCGTGTCCAGAATTCAGTATCTGGCAAATTTCAGGTTTCACTTTCTTTTTCTGTTTAAAAGCCTTTGAACATGCATAGGCAACACCTTATGAAATTTCAAGGAGATGGGGTCAGTGAGTTGATTCAGCGTGTTAAAATAAATAGGCCCTCAAGATTCTGGCCCTTGTTGATAATTAGCAAAAGCAGAATTATATAACGCAAAGCAAATGCAGAACTGTGAAAATTGCACATTTATACAGGTCACAGAACTCAGGTGTGGAATCTTCATTAACTCGACTGAATCTTAAGATTTCTATTTCTGTGGTGCACTGCTGGAAGGGCAGGCTAGCAGGAAGAATCCACACGGCTGTAAAATCGATAAACACTGAGCAAAATGGCAGTTGGCTAAGTGGCCAAGTATGGGCTCAGAGAAAATGAAGAATCAATTCTTAGCGGTATATGCTCTCCAACCTCAGTTGTAAAGTTGTAGATCTTTGGAATGTAAATGCCAATGATTCTATTCAATTACTTTGGCCACATCTAAGACATACTGAAACTTAAATCTCCACCTGTAAACTTTAATCTTGAGAGGCATGGTTGCTGCATTATGATGTAACACCGCCTGACGACAATACAGCTAAACATGTAACAAATGTGCTGCTACACACTGATCTGATGAAATGCATGTGGGCAACTTCTCCCTGATTAGTTGCAATGGAACTGCATAAGGCTAACAAGGTATATAGGTAAAAGTAAAGGACCCCTGGATGGTTAAGTCCAGTTGAATTTGGCTATGGGGTGCAGCGCTCATCAACACTTTCAGGCCAAGGGAGCTGGTGTTTGTCCACAGACAGCTTTCCTGGGTCACACTGGCCAGCATGACTAAACTGCTTCTGGTACATGGGACACCGTGACGAGTGCCAGAGTGCATGGAAATGTCGTTTACCTTCATGCCACAGTGGTACCTATTTATCTACTCACACTGGTATGCTAGGTTGGCAGGAGCTGGGACAAAGCAACGGGAGCTCACCCCGTCTCATGGATTTGAACTGCCGACCTTACAATCGGCAAGCCCACGAGGCTATATCAACCTGCAAATCTAATGTAACAAAGACCTAGGCTACTATTCAACCGAAGTGATACATTTTCATTAAATTTCAGCAGATCTGCTCTGTGTAAATAAAGCTTACCATCCCCGAAGCATTTTTAGGTTAAACACAGATGAGTCCTAGATAGTACCTAACCTATGTCCAGATTGTGATCAAATCCCAGCTTGCAATGATATTCCATGTAAAAAATAAAGGTAAAGGGACCCCTGACCATTAGGTCCAGTCGCAGATGACTCTGGGGTTGCGGCGCTCATCTCATTTTACTGGCCGAGGGAGCCAGCATACAGCTTCTGGATCATGTGGCCAGCATGACTAAGCAGCTTCTGGCGAACCAGAGCAGTGCACGGAAACACCGTTTACCTTCCCACCAGAGCGGTACCTATTTATCTACAGTGGTGCCTCGCAAGACAAAATTAATCCGTTCCGCGAGTCTCTTCGTCTTGC